CTTCATATAGAGAGAATTGGATTGTTGGTAAAAATTGAATTAATCTACCCCAAGAAAGAGAAAATTAGCATCTAAAAAATACTAATTCTCAGATGAATAGGCAATTGATCATTAACAATAGTGAATTCAGATTATAGAACCTTTCAAGATTTGAATAAAATTCAAAAATTTCTTGCTTTCTAATTGTTTATTTTAGTATAAAAATAGATATATAACTAAATCAAAATCAAATAAATATTTTCGTGTTTTTAATTAAAGTAAAATAAGTAGATGATAAGTAACGTTGATTCAACACTCTATTTAATATTATGTTACCTGTTCTCATGAGATAAAATCGATAATAATAAGCGCAAAAAAGAAGAGACTTTTGATTTCCACCCCCATATATCCATGTAACAAGTGAGAAAGTCAAATCCTATTTGTCATGGAATTTATTCTAATCTAATTCTTATACGTAATGTTATTTTGCATTATTAGTGTTAAGCACCATCCTAATTGTAGCATGCAAGTACCATTAATTGATTAAACAAATTAAATCGCATTTAAAATCTCTTATCACTTGCAGTCAACTCTTATTGTATGTGGGACAATACACAAAGTTACCACGTATGGCTTCTTGGGATCAAGTTTAGATTACTTCCTTTCAAAGTAAAAGCTTGGTATTATCGTGTGAGGTCCACAATTAAGGATTAAATCTCAATGCGCTACTATGGTTAGAACTCAGTCTTTCATATAAATTAGTTCTAGTAATGATGGTTAAAGTGCTGTTCTGATACCTAATGCTTAACTAATGGCATGACAGTTTGTTAGAGCCTCAAAAACTTACCAGAAATTCTTTAGCCCAAAGGGGGGGGGGGGGGGGGGGGGGGGGGGGGGAAGAAAGAATGAATATGTACTCGTCATCTTCCAATGATAATCTGCCAAGTATTCATCTATATGATTTTTGTAAAAAAATTTCTGAACCTATAGCATTGTTCATGATATAAATACTTGTCTCCGAAAGTTTCAAGATTAGAAATTCGTAGATTGCCTGGTTTAGACTTGCATCAATTTGCCCGAGGTAAATGTCACATTGCTAGAGACAATCTACGTCGTACATTTGCATCGTTGCCAATGACCAGCTTGTTTATCGTAAAATTCAGTCATCATAGTGTTTTTTTGCTGGAAAATGAGTCGTGATCGTCCATGTGGACTGACACAACTTGCAGACCATGAGAATGGATTGGAGAGAGTGGTTTAAGTTTGAGTTCAAACCCACGACCTCTCGTCACAATATCCTTGCCTTCTCTTTTGAGTAATGTTATTTAGCCCTGCTTGTCACCCCTTATTTGGAAAATTAAAGAGTTTTGAATAGTATTTTTTGAAAAATGTATGATTAAAAAGTAAAGAAACTTTATTGGTTTGTGTATGAAAAAATTTATCGTGTGAATGTGTGGTAAAAAATGATACTGTAATAAATAATTTTAAATTTTAAATGAAGACAAATAGGCACTGAGCCCCACTAGGATTATAACCACAGTCTATGTTAAAAGAAATGTGAAATTAAATTATTTATTTCATTTACACATTAGTGCATGCATAGACTAAGGCTATAACATTAGTGGAGCTGAATAATATTATTCTTCTAAGGCAATGATGTATAGTGGAAGTTTGTGCATGAAAATATATATATAAAAATGAAAAGTGTTACTTATCTGTTGAATTCATCCGTTATTTCAAGAATTACAGATGAATTCTCTCAGTAATGGCATCAGTACATTTGGGATTTTAGTTATTAGTGAGATTGTAAACAGAAAATTAAGACCAAATGAATATCTTAGAAGTAACAAATTTTTGGAAGTAATCCATTATTGTGATGTGATATTCGATAAAGTTGGATTTATTAGATGAAATGCACAAATTGAGAAATATATTCTGAGAATTTTTAAATGATCTAAAATTTGAGGATCATTGTAGTATCATGACATCAAAAAATATACCAATTTATATATAACAACAGATCATAAATAATTAATTTAAATCTGAATCATTTTTCTAATTTTCTTTGTTTTTCCTTTGCAGAATACTTTAATTTTTTTTATTCTTGTGATCTAAATTTCCTTATCACAGAAGAAAAAATGTTGCCATCCAATAATATGGTGGGAACAAGCCATCTTAAAGTACTAGCAACATAAAATAATGATAGCATCTAATTTAAAAAGTTGATGGAGGTTGAGAAAAGAAGAGACTTAGCTTATGCGCCCCCCCCCCCCCCCCCCCCCCCTCCTCTCA